GCAAATAGCCTGAATTTCTGGGGTGCTATCTCCAACAGGAATTGAGTCCCTTAAGATCCTCTGGATTGAATGTGATAAGTCTTTTTGTTTCTCAACTGCACCAATTTCTGGCGTACGTGGGGCTTGACTCATTCGATAACGATTTTCTAAAAATTCGACAGATTTCTTAATATACTTTCCAGCTATATCAAAGGCAAAGAGCTGATTGTTACATTCGCTGGGTTTTCTAAAATCGTACTTGACTTTTGGTTCATCTTTGAAATGCCAAAAACTTTGTGCCATGTTTATTACTATACCCGCTTGCTCCATAAAGTCGGCACCAATAAGCGTGTGATGCTCGGTGACATTTGGTAACGAGATTAGGCGAATCTTGCTTTGGCGATTACCAATTTTAATATCACAAATGGTTGACAATACTTTTAGCGATGTGGTGGTGCCGTCTGCTAAGGTTACATCAGCTTTGACATCCTGAAACACACACCCTTTCCTAGTCAGAATCTTTTTTATGTTTGCGCTCGCAATACTCGTTTTTGCGCCAGTATCAAAGAGAGCTTCTCCCTTTAATCCGAACATCTCAATATAGACGCACGGAATCTGCCTACCAACCACAGTGGTTCAGACGTTATTGAAGGAGAGATATTGTGGACTCTCTTAGGAGCATCGCTTTGCCTCGTCTGCATACGCTTGCTCATTGACCGTGGGTGCGCTTCGCGTAACTTCATACAAAAATAGTTCTGCCTCACGGCAGTGTGCCAAAAGCTCATCAAAATTTGAAAACGATTCACGACGTACGCGATCTCTTATTTTAACTGACAAGAGGCCGTAGATCATACTGATTGGGACGGATTCGCTTACACTGTCTCTCAGTTGCGAAACGAATAACCTTTTCTTGCAAATATACCTGTCAGTTGGTTCTCTTGCTTGCTGTTTGTGCTCAAACAGTGAAATAAAGACTTTCTAATCGGGAGTAGGCGGTGAAAAAGTCTTTCGTATAAGATCGACCGCATCAGCAAAAGTTTTCACGTTTTCCTTACCACCGATCCACCATGTCGCTGCGTAGTCTTCTAAAAGAAGAGGCATTCGACGTAAAGCGTCTGCGTCGGAAACTCGCTCTATGTCTTTGTACACGGTGACAGACGCGAGGAACTCCTCTACAGCCACTGGATTTCGCTGTCCACGAAAGTGCGCGTTACACTCAGTATAGAACCTCCTTTTCTATCCCCCGATATCGTTGCCATAATTTGGGTGAATTGCTCCGGTGAGAACGTCGGAATTGTGTCGGGTTTGTCGCTTTTCACAGCCGCTAAGTTGGGCGCCAATAAAACACTTGTGTGTGTCGCTGGTTGTGGCTCCACGTCGGACGCCAATGAAACGCTGGAGTTGCTCAGTGAGCGTAGACTATAGATCATTTGTGAGAAGCAAGTGCAGCCCAAATCAATATTGTGCGCGCACTTCCTTGCGGCTCCTTGGAGAAAACCTCTTCGCAAAGTGCGTTGTTGGTTTAAATAAGAAACGAACTCAATTTATATGTATAACAATAATACTTTATTACTGTAATCGGCTTAAAAGGTCGGGGGATGCTGCCCAAAATATTATTGTGCGCGCACGTCCGACACGTACGCAAGTTTGAAGCTAATCAAAATTTTAGGATCAGCAGTGCTACGTATATATACTACAGAGGATTGCTACGAACTGCACAAGTAGTAGGTAACATTTGTATCACAAAACCCCACTGGGTTGCATTTCCTATCTCGAGTTAAACAATCTATTACAATATAACATAGTGTTTACAATGATCCACAAACTAACAATAATACGTGAAATAAATAATTATAGAAATTTAGAAGTCAAGAAATATGATACTGCTTCAAGTTTATTTTAACAGCGATAGTCACATTGAACATCTCTATTACTAGAAATCGCGGTTCAAGAACACTGTCAAAATGTTTGTATTTGTACATTTTTACAGGATATTAACCAGGCAGAAGAAGAAAATTTTTTACTGAAATAGCCCGAACACAATGAAACCGACGAGCTACGAACCACAGCTGTCAAATTTTTTTCCACAAATAGATAATTACACAGGTTTACAACAAAAAAAGTGAATACATATTAAACCAAACCTATATATCCCTATGTTATTCGACATGCTGAATGCGAATCCGAGATCCGTTAGCCTCCATCACGTCAGGTTCGTGGTCATTTGAAGGTCAAGTAGGGAACAATTCATTGAATAAACCTGAAAATTCAAAAAAATTCATCGGAATTTGACCTTGGGATGACCTCCAGATGACCTTGAGGAATCAAGGGACCTCCATACTCGGTTTCAGTGACAACAAAAACATTTTTTTTTTAATTTTTATTGAATAAATTGTATGTCCTATTTGACCTACAAATGACCTCGAAGCTGACATTATGGAGGTTAACGGACCCCGGATTCGGGTTCAGCGAATGTAAAACCTTATGTATATGAATTTTCAGGTTTATTGAATGAATTTTCTACTTGACCTTCAACTGACCACGAACCTGACGTGGTGGAGACTAACGGNATTTCTACTTGACCTTCAATTGACCACGAACCTGACGTGGTGGAGACTAACGGACTTCGGATTCGCATTCAGCGTGTCGAATAACATAGTGATATATAGGTTTGGTTTAATATGCATAAGCTTTTTTTTTGTAAACCTGTGTTATTGTGGCGACGACAGGGCTATTCGACGACTGGGTTGTGGCCAGATTATATCTATTTCTATTTTCCCAGCGACAGATAAGGTTCTTCTTCTTCATTTATGTCAAGCTCATACAAATTCATGATGTCGCTGCCGCGTTCCAAGAAATCATGTCGCCATTGACAAAGCGTTTAGATAATGAAGATAACAAATTGGAAGCTTTGGCCCGTAGCTCGTCGTTTTCAATGTATTCAACACTTAAGTATGCACAATTATGCAGTCTCCGTGCATTATATCGTGAAAACAAGTGCATGCCAAATTTGTGTAATCAATCGTTTTCGCCACCAAGCCATTGTGTTAGTTTTTTATATTATAAACAGGAAATGTTAAAAAGAGTGTCCTCATTACATACATCACAATTAATGATATTTGTTGTTTTTTTTTTTTTTTAATGAAAAAACACGATGTGCCTTAAATATTGTGGCGAATACTGTGGCAACGGGAAGCGTACAACAAGAAAATGGCAGAATGTTCGATGGAAGACTTAGAATATTCGACAGCAAGAAACGTCATGTGGAGAATGCTGCGAGCAGCGAGAGAATGAGAGTTGCCATCAGTGTGAGCGCAGGTATATAAGGCCGCTGCTACAGCGCACCAGAAGTCAGTTGCGAATCAGCAAGCTACAAGTAAAGCTATGAAACAGAGTTCAATTGTCTTAGCAAGTTTTGTAAAGTATTGTAATTGCTTTAACAAGTATTGTTAATTGCTGTTATTGCATAAGCAAGTATTGTAAATCATTTGTTTTACAATAAAGTTAATTGTACTGTAATTTGGTCATATTGAGAGTTAATCCAGCAATACGAACCCTACGGATTTTGGTAAATCCGTCAAGTAATCAAGAATAATCGTAACATAGGCCCTGTGCCAATTGATAGAAAATAGAAAATTTTGACAAAGTAAAAATTTGACACTTCTCGTGGTGAATACGNAATCCAGCAATACGAACCTTACGGATTTTGGTAAATCCGTCAAGTAATCAAGAATAATCGCCAATTGATAGAAAATAGAAAATTTTGACAAAGTAAAAATTTGACACTTCTCGTGGTGAATACGAACGTCAAAATTTTACCTAGCTCATGGGGCTAGGTAAAATTTTGACAACTTATAAACATGTATACACATATTATTGCTTGGCGGTAATAAAGATGGAACATGAAAATGAAAGCCGAAAAAGCACAAAGGAAGCGTAAGTTACTTGTAAGTTATAAAATAAATATAAATTTTAACAATTTCAGCAACACACACAAATAGAGCTTTCGCACGGGCGTTTGTTTGGTTTTTCAACTGTCAAAATTTTACTTTGCATTTGGCACAGAAAAATTCAATTTATTTGTACACCATAGCAAATTTTTCCACCCCGTCTCACCACGGAGAAAAAAGTTACTGATTGGCACAGGCCCATTTGTAGTAAAATTCATTTTGGGGGAATCTCATTGAAAATAGCGTAATTTTTTCAAGAATCTCGGGGAATTTGTCCCAAGAGAGTTGGCATACCTGTAGTGGGATTCGCCATTCTATTTTAACGCTAATCGAATTGTTAAGAAAACTTAACGACGATTTTAACGATTTGACAATTCGCTAAACATATTTTAACGATATCCGCTATCGCTTGATCAGCTGTTGTCGTTAACTACTCGATTACTCGTTAAGTAAACGACGAATTTTTTGAAGTTTTTAGTGGCATAGACAAAAGAAAATTTGATATTTCATTTGAGTTAAAATAAAATTATATACATAGANTTTTTGAAGTTTTTAGTGGCATAGACCAAAGAAAATTTGATATTTCATTTGAGTTAAAATAAAATTATATACATAGATCGCGATTCTACTTAAATAATATATAAAAGAAAAACTTTTTGTTAAAAATGGCATTTGAGTATTTGGCATACGTTTTATCCCAAGATGAGGAGATAATAAACCCTTCATCAGTGGATAGACATTTGCTTCGAGAAGTGAACAACCTTTTCCACTTGACTGCAACTGAGTTACGTGACCTTTACCGATTAACCCCAGACTTGGTTGAAGATATTGTTTCCCAGCTTGATAGCCAATTAAGGGGTCGAAGAATAACAGCGATAACGACAGAGAAACAGTTAAATAATATAATTTTCAAGTATTTTTAAATTTTAAATGCTTTTGTAAATTTTAAAGGTTCTAACTGCCTTGCCATTCTTCGCAACTGCCTGTTATCAACGTCCCGTCGGAGAGCAATGGGGGATATCCATGAACCNAGCGATAACGACAGAGAAACAGGTAAATAATATAATTTTCAAGTATTTTTAAATTTTAAATGCTTTTGTAAATTTTAAAGGTTCTAACTGCCTTGCCATTCTTCGCAACTGCCTGTTATCAACGTCCCGTCGGAGAGCAATGGGGGATATCCATGAACCAGTCGTCCGTAAGTCGCTGTATACATCGCGTAACGGATGCAATAAACCGCACCATGTTTTTGAAAAAGGTTAGGTTTCCAATGACCCAAATAGAGCGGCAAGCTGCAAAAGAAATTTTCGCCTCAGCATCCTCCCCATTTGTAGGAGGTACTATTGGGGCTATCGATTGCACTCACGTGTCAATCATGAGCCCAAAAAATCATGAAGCGTATGTCAACCAATGTGCAAATGGTAAGAGTAAAATTTGCTCAAGGGTTACACTACTGAGAATTAATTTTATTTTATACAAATATAGATATGTGATCCAAATCTAAAGATTTTGGCTGTCAATGCTAAATACCCAGGGGCGCGACACGATTCATTTATTTGGAGCTCCTCTGCAGTCCGGAGAGTTATGCAGCGAAATTTTGAAAATGGAAACCATAACATGTTTTTAATTGGTAACCTTTTAAATCCACTGAAACTTATTTATTAAAATCAATTTCATTGAAAATGTCGAATATATATTTGCAGGTGACTCAGGATATCCTTTGGAGCCGTGGTTGATGACTCCTCTACCGAACCAACCAGAAGGGAGTCCTAAATTCCGCTACAATTAGGCATTGCGCAAAGCTCTAAACCCAGTAGAGAGACTTTTTGGCGTTCTCAAAGGAACTTTGGGATGCTTATCTCAGCAAAGGACTCTTTTGTATGATCCTGGATTTACTGGAAAAGTAGTAAATGCATGCACAGTGTTGCATAACTTGCGATTGGGTGACTAAACATACTATCCCGAGACTGAGTTCCTACAGCCAAGGACAAATATCAGTAATGTAAATCAAGACGCGCCGTCTTCAACGGCCAAACGCGGCCAAAACCGGCTAATTGAAAATTATTTTACATGAAAAAAAACGTTGATAAATAAAAATTCAGAAGGAATACAACAAAATTATTTTGGCTTTTATTTAACATTTTTATGTAAATAAAAACTCTAGTATCAATAACTTGAGTCTTATTTTGTCTTTAATTTGAGTACATTTTTTTAAAGTCTAGAATTATATATGTAAATATTCATTAAATATAGGGTCCATCAAAAGACAGATCTCAGTATGTAATCACAGATCAGTTTCTATAATATGGCGTGGGTTAAAACACCACGTAAAAGCACGTTCAAGTTACAGGCGCATCACAAAATTAAAACATGAATTCACAAAATGAAATTTCATTACTTATTGTATATAAGAAATATATGTGGTATATATTACATGCGGTAAGTACCGTATACCTCTTTATCAACTAAATTTGTAAACATTGAATTCATTTGAAAATCAACAGAACTTCAAATAACTCGTTTATTATAAAAAAATAAAGATCTCCACGTACTACGTCAAATGTCAATTCAAATATGTAAAACTTCTTCTTCGAATATCTTAAACAGTTATTCTAAATGTAAAAAGTTAACTTCATGATATGACGAATTAAAACTTAACTCTAACATAAATTCAAAAAAAGGGATTTCATGCTCTATCAAATAAAAACTTAACTCTAAAATAAATATAAAAACCAAAAAGAACTTCAACTTATATTAAAAACGATTAAAACTAACATAAATATTAAAACAAAAAATTACTTCAAAAACTACATATCTACACAATATTTACATGCGTTAGATAGCGTTTGTTAAATTATTAAAGGCATCCACACATGCCTTTAAACCTTCTCCGATTGTGGTCATAGCTTCGGCCAACGATTTCGTTACCTGCACACTCGCCGTACTTGTTTCAGTTAAAAACAGTTGGAAGAGCATATGAATGTAATACTATTTTTTAGTATGTACCAAAAATTACCTTCAAAGCATCTCCTTGTGTACTTGTTATTTGTACATTCGCTGCACTCGAATCTGCTGGCATCTGTTGAAAAAGAACCGAAAAAATTATGTCAAAATATTTTACTCATGTAAAGTTACAAATGCGTAAATTACTTTTAAGGCATTTGCTTTGGTCTTAGCAATTTCCAAAAATGTTTATGGGGCCTCGGTACCACCGTCCACACGCCTTTTTTTGCACCTCTACGTGGCGTTTTTCCTGCAGGAGTTATAGGAGTCGATGTGCACATCTCAATGCTCACTTCGTGAGAAATAGATGGCATCTCGATGATGACACTTTCATCACCCTCTTCCACACTCAGTTGGAGTTCCTAATGATGGGAAGAATTGTTAACTTCTGTGCCATTCATAACTATTTATTTGCTTTTTACATCTTCCACTGGCACACTTCATACACACTGGCAGTTTCATGGCCCTGCACATAGTCGCTACCGACAAGCGCACACGCCTCTCAAGCTCAGTGGGCTCTTCATTAATGGGATTGTTTCTCGTCATTGCCCTTTTTTTCTATCATGCACCTTAATGCTAGTACGGCTCTTCAAATCCCCCATACGTTTTTGCAAAACAAAATTTAAACGTGGTATTAAATTACCAAACAATTTTTACATACTGTGCGCCATTGGTCGACGTTCTTCACCAAACCACCAAGCATGATACAATAATTTTTAGAAGGTAGTTTCACTTCTTCTTCTTATACGTCATGTTAGCTGTTGACAGAAAACGTGTTTCAATTTTTTGTTGTACCAACTTTTTCAAAAAAAAATCCACCTTATTTTTCTTCATACAAAGTTAACTGCTGCTTTCGTGGATATTGCAACACACGGAATAGGTGTAAGGATACAGCTATAAGAGCCACCGCATACCACAGAGTTTATCGGCCGCCTATTTAAATAATAGGGCTCGCTTGAAATATGTACATGAAGATGTATGGAGGTGCGCACACTACACCAGCTTAATCGCTCCGACCAATAAGTTGTGGTGCAATGGAAAGACTAGCGAGCCCATCTAAATCGGCGGTCGATAAAGTCCTTGGTGTGCGATGGATCTAATCCATTATAAACAAGAAATATTGCCGTTATATTTTCATTTTTATGGGGGAAACTTTCCATTATGGCCGTTCGTTAAAGGTGCGGTGGGCGAAGGGGGAGTGGGCGTGGCACCTCCAACCGACCTTTTTGGAGAGGGCATGAACCGCCATTGACAAAAATGCAACCCCCGACCACCTAGGCCCCCTATGGTTCTCTACGGACCCCTTAGAAAAATGGCCAAAAATCGCAATTTTTACTTGCGTCCACAGTATTTTTGCGTAGAATTCCTTTCTGCGTAGGCGGCCTTCGGCCGCGCTTAGGGATTATAACCCTTATTATGTAGAATTCTCCTTTCTGTGTGACCTAACTGGGGCTACCGCCCCAGTGATGTAACCTTGGGAAAGGATGAGGTAACTAGAATTCCCTTTCTGTGTGGTAAACCTGGGGCTGCCGCCCCAGTGTTGTCTATTTTGGTACTGGTGTGTATAAAAATGTGTATATAAAAATGTATTGTGCAAATGAATATTTAACATATTTCAAGCGAATAAACGCAAATGAAAATTGTGCTTTTTGGCAATTTTTCTAAGGGGTCCCTAGGGAACCATAGGGGACCTAGGTGGTCGGGGGTTGCATTTTTGTCAATGGCGGTTCATTCCCTCTCAAAAAAGGTAGGTTAGAGGTGCCACGCCCACCGCCCCTTTAACGAACGGCCATAAAGGAAAGCCAACCCTTTTTATGATTTTTATTCATGTGATTAGCAGTGGCAAAAATGTATGTATTAAATACGTATATTTATATTCAAAATTAAGTGATCAGTTATGAAACATATAAATCTTTCTATATGTTCTGTTAAAAAATATCTAAAATAACAAGCGAAAATCCCCAAGTTCTATATCGTAGCAGTGGCCACATTGCGTGTTTGTCACAGACACGGCTTATGTCAAAAATTTTGAAGTGAAACTACCTTCTAAAAATTATTGTATCATGCCACCAAGGCTATTCAGCATAGACGCTAGTTCACTCCACTCCTTGTCGCAGACCGATTTGCCATGAAGCTTCTGGAACCTTGATCCAGCCAATCCCGGCGTTTCCGTCAAAAAGTCCACCATGCGACTTAGTTGTTCTGCTGTGGTCCGGCTTCTCTTTTGAACACTGTGTACTGACGGAGCCATTCTATAATATGCGAAAATGGTTATGTCTAATAATACAAAATAAATAACCGTTTTATTTTACTTACTTTTTGTTTTTGTTATTTTATGGCCTTATAACAATTATATTCAACAATTTTTATTGAGCTCGAGTAAGTTAAACATTCTAACAATAGAAAATAATAACAAAAACCAACAAAACCAACAACCACTCGATCAAGTGAATTGCAGCGGAATAGCTGCGCTTGATTGTAGTTGGCTTAGCAAGTGAAATAGTGGAAATAAGCAACAAGAATTAACAAGGCAGAACTTAGCACAGTGCGTAGGCAACTGGCTGAGTCAGTGGGATCGTCGGTTCGAATCCTACTGAAAGAAGTCTGATGAGGAAATGTGGTGATTTCCGAAATAGCTATCACTTCTACCATTTTTTCAAATTATTGTTGCTTTTCCACAATAAGTTTTCATTAAAAACGGCCTCGAGCTCAATAAAAATTGTTGAATATAATTGTTATAAGGCCATAAAATAACAAAAACAAATAACTTAAGGATGAGCACACCTAAAAGTTAAACATTCTAATAATAGAAAATATTAACAAAAACCAACAACCACACGATCAAGTGAATTGCAGCGGAATAGCTGCGCTTTATTCTAGCTGGCTTAGCAAGTTAAATATTGGAAATAAGCAACAAGAATTAACAAGGCGAACTTAGCACAGTGCGTAGGCAACTGGCTGAGTCAGTGGGATCGTTGGTTCGAATCCTACTGAAAGAAATCTGATGAGGAAATGTGGTGATTTCCGAAATAGTTATCACTTCTACCATTTTTTCAAATTATTGTTGCTTTTCCACAATAAGTTTTCATTAAAAAACGGCCTCGAGCTCAATAAAAATTGTTGAATTTACTTACTTTTTGTAAAAATATATTAAAATATCCAGAAAACTATGTGTATACCACTTTGCAAGCAAGGAATTTATTTGTTTTTCGTCATTCTTCTTTGTGCTTTTCGCATTTTTTGACGTTTCGTTAAGCTGTGATGCCACCTTTCTTTTATTTAAATAAAAAGAAAATGTCATCTGTTTAGTGTCGTTAAAAAAGAGTTACCGAATAACACAATCGTTACTGCAAACCACAAAAATCTTTATCTTAGACCTCGACAAATCGTATCGTTAAAAGTAAATTGCAAACATTGGCATCAATACTTTGAACAAAAGTGCATATGGGTATTTCCAAACTAGAGCTGGAGAAACATCGATACATCCATGTTTTTATATCAGCTGCTAACATCGATGTTGTTGCAAATTTCAAACCTTCATTTATTTGGCGCGTAAAAAGGTAAAATTAAGCAATTATTCATAAGTCAGAAAAAATCTTAATAATATTTAAAAGACTTGAAAAACCTACCCCATTTCCATGATTCAATAATTATAATTAAATGTTTGCTCACTAGCGACATTAGAGATTTGACTCTCCCTTACAAAAGGTTGCACACACGGTGCCTTGCTAAAGACGTCGATTTACAAAAGCCATAAATACGACAATTAGAGAATACTGGGGCATACACAACATATGCGGGTATTTTAATAAGTGGAAATTTGGAGATAATTAAATACACGAAAAAGGAAATAATTGAAAACGCAGTAAATCGCTAGCTTAGAGTAAAAAGTTGCTAAGTCCTCATTTTGTGAATATATGAGTGAGATATAAGAAGAAAGAGAAATTCAAAATGCATCGTTTCCAAAAGGACTAAGTCTGCGTTTCTCCAAACTCATTTAAGTGGAAATTAACTTTAATTGAATTTTTGAAGTGAAACTTCTTAGGCGGCGGTATCGCAAAAATGAAGAGTGAAATTTTTAAAAGTGAAA